GTGAAAATAGAAAATTTAAACTAGCCAGTAAAGGTTTTTGGTTTTTGATTGAGGGTCTTTCCCCCCGGTGCTTAAAGGCTGGATCTGCCCCTGTACGCTACGCTTGGCAAGATATAATACTGGACAAGAACTTATAGTTTTACGTTTGAAGCTATTTGGAACAAGAATTCGATGAAAACTAGATGGGTTTGTAACCTTCAAATGGTTTGCAAATGATATATATATATATATATATATATATATATATATGTGTGTATGTATGAAAGTTGTGTAAATATATTTATAAATTAAAGTATTTAATCATTTACTTTATCTGTGTTTATTTATAACTATTATATGCCACATAAAATCATCAAATAACTTTTGGAGTAATTTTTCTAATTCTGTCATGTTCACTCTTAGTCGTATCATACATCAGACGAACACTTATTCGTCCAGCCTTGTCATGTCCAGTTTGCCTATAAAACATTACCTAAATGACTACTAATATAGAAAACTATATATTATTAAAGAAAGGTTTTGAAATACAGTAGACAACTTGATTTGAAAGCTAGAAATCTAGAAAACAATTATAAAATGTTATAGGAATTAATGTTTAGGAAATCAATTTGACAAACAACTGATTAGGCGGATAAACCATAACTTCAATGCAAATTGACATTGTCATATACTCATTAAATGATATTAAAACAATCTAGTTATTAATAGGATATGAACGATGCATCTGATAGAATATATAAACATGTTATGAAAGAGATATGGTTGACTTTGTTTATAGCTTTGTTTCATGTATCGGGTAATAGCTAATGCTTCACAATATCAAGCCTCGTTCATCATCAAGCTTTGTAATATTATAAATAATGAGTAACAAATCAAACCACAGACGTAAATAACAATGTAAAAACAATATATGCACATTAACAAACTGGGAAAGGGAGAAACCTTAAACAAATATGAAAAAGGCAAACCTTAAATCAATGATTGAGAGCAAAAATCGAGAGTGATATATTATTGAAATGAACTTAGGATAGCGGTGGATTGGATTGTCGATTGATGCTCCTTGTGTCGTCTTTGAGGTTGCACGTGTCAGGGTGAGTCCTGCTTCTTAGACCATGGATCATCATCCGCTCCGAAGTAATTTCCAAAATGATTTTTTAAGTGAAATACTGATAAAAATTGGTGGTGTTAACATTTTTATATGAGAAATTATGGTTGTTAGAAGTATGATTTCTTAATTAGAAGTTGAATTTTCGTAATTACTAATATCACACACATAATTTTTGTTAATGTGACATTAATAATATAAGAAATTGTCAGTATGGTTATTAATTTGATCGGAAATAACCAGGCCAAATTACATAATCAAGTCCCATCATATGACTTTTTTTAAACGTGTTTTTTTGAACTATATTTTTTGCGAGTTCTATGTTGTCTTATTTTATGGATGTTTTTACATATTTTTTTTATCTTATTGCTAATAAATCTGCTAACTTGTCGAGTTTCAACTTATTTGAGGAAAAACTTCTCTTATTTTGTAAATTGTAATTTTTAGTTTGTTTCGTATCTGTTTTTGGTATTTCATCTCACAATTTGTACAGGAAGTTAAACTACGAATAGAGTATCTATATGGGTCAAAAATACACCTCGCAAAATACAAAATTCTTGTTTCGCGAGTTGTGTTTTTAATGCTTTTTTGTTCAAATAACTTGTAGATAAACATATATTTGAAGCGAGGTTACAATTGATGCAATTTAAGGAACTCATATGTATAATAAGAAATTTTTTATCTTACAAGCTATGATGTTTTTTCAGATAGTTGTCGGCCGGTAAAAACAAAAGTGCACTTTTCATGGTACCCGTGCTATGAGGACCTCGTAAAAAATAGGTTAGAGTAGTTAGAACCCAGGAATACAAGAGATTTCAACTCCCCAATAACTAATTTCTAAGTGGAAGAAGAAAGACCTAAGTCACGTGTAAAATTCTATGCATCAACTAACTGTACAACTTCTTTCTTTCTTTTTGTACAAAAAAGGAATCAATAATTTTAGGATCGAAACAACCTATTTGTTGTTTGCAAAAACTTGTTCTTTCACAAAAATGAATGAATTTACTCCAGGTCACAGCTCCCTGAACATTGATGGATCGATCGTGCCATCGAAGCCTCGTAAGATGCTTTTTTGCTGAAGCCTATGTTGTTGTTGTTTTGGTTCTACAACTCATGGTCGATAGAAACGACAATTACTGTGATATCATCATGAACAACATGTTTGTCCCCGCTCTCAATCGTTCCCAGTTCCCTATACCTTCAATATCGATCGAGAGTGGGAACATCGTGTTTTTTTTATGATGATATTACAATAATTGTCGTTTTTTATCGACCATGAGTTGTTTGAACCAAAACAACACCAATATAGGCTTCTGCGAACTAGTATCTGTACGACGCTTTAACGACAAGATCGATCCATCAATGTTCAGGGAGCTGCGAATGGAGTAAATCCATTCATTTTTGTGAAAGAACAAGTTTTTGCAAACAACAAATAGATTATTTCGATCCTAAGATTCTTGATTCATTTTTGGTACAAACAGAAAGAAAGAAGTTGTGCTGTTAGATGCATACAATTTTACACATCACTTTAATAAATCTATTGTCTTTTTTCTTCCATTTGGGTGTTGGAATTCTGTTAGTGGGAAGATGAAGTCTCTTGTGTTCCTGACATATAAATAAATAGATTATAACTAATGTAATAACCCATCATGCATGGATATTAAGTTCAGCTTTGCTGATGGTAGTTATCAACAATCTTATAATATCATTTTGCTAAATAAGAATATTACCAGCTAAGAAACACTGGTATTTTGATGACTACGAATATTATCTGGTATCGTAAGTGAGCGTGGTAACTTTTAACGTTAAATGTTTACCAAATTTGTGTTTGTTTAAGGGTCTGTTAACTAAACACTTATATATAATTTTTATAATGTAAGTGGTATTGACCTGATAAGAATAACATCTAATAAAAAACCAGATGTTATTGTGGTCTTTCTTCTTACATTTGGGGAGTTGAAGTCTTTTGTATTCTTGACATGTAAATAATTTGTTACTACTGTTACCGATTATGGAGACTGATAATACAATCAAGTTAAGCTTTTCCGTTCAGATATGGATGTTCCGCTTTTGTCCCTACGTATTGTCCGCTACTGCTAAACGGCCTGAGCACAGGCGACAAATCATGTTGTTGCTCACATTCCATTGTTGAACAACACTCGTGACTACTACATGTAGTTATTGAACGAAGTGGACCTAATTAACTGGTTCATTGCTTCTGTTTATCGAAATCAGACATGTAGCAAAGTTAAGTCCCCTTCCACCAATCAAGTTGAATACATTTTTTGTTATACATAATTCTTTATTTTAACCCAAAAGAAGCTACCTGTAACTGATTAGAAATGTTTTAAAGTAAAAAAGAACCGAAATCAGCTTTACTCTTTTCAAACCCTATGTCTTCAAAACCTCATGCAAACACTGATATCTCTCCTATTCGCCACTGATTGTCACCCTGTTGTTGTCTACTTTGTAATAGATCCTAAAAGTGTAAATTCATTTCATGATTTTGGATGGATTCATGAACCTTGATCGTTGTGGCATGGCCGGCTTACCACAATAACCAGGCGTGGAGCCATAAAATTTATCTAGTTGGTGCCTAGAAACTATGTGAGAAATTTCATAGTTTTAAGGTTGAGAAAACACTTTCAAAATTTATGTTTTTAACAAATGCTTGTCCAACAAAAATAGTAGTTAAACTAACATATATAACTAACCATATAAATAAGAAAAATGAATGGATTTACTCCAGTTCACAACTCCCTGAACATTGATGGATTGATCATGTCATCGAAGCCTCGTAAGATGCTTTTTTGCTGAAGCCTGTGTTGTTGTTTTGGTTCTACAACTCATGGTCGATAAAAACGACAATTACTGTGATATCATCATGAACAACATGTTTGTCTTCGCTCTCAATCGTTCCCAGTTCCCTATACCTTCGATATCGATTGAGAGCGGGGACACACCTGTTTTTTATGATGATATTACAACAATTGTCGTTTTTTATCGACCATGAGTTGTTGAACCAAAACAACACCAATATAGGCTTCTGCGAACTAGTATCTGTACGACGCTTCAACGACAAGATCGATCCATCAATGTTCAGGGAGCTGCGAATGGAGTAAATCCATTCATTTTTGTGAAATAACAAGTTTTTGCAAACAACAAATAGGTTGTTTCGATCCTAAGATTCGTGATTCATTTTTGGTACAAACATAGAGAAAGAAGTTGTGCTGTTAGATGCATACAATTTTACACATCACTTTAATAAATCTGTTGTCTTTCTTCTTCCACTTGGGTGTTGGAATTCCATTAGTGGGAAGATGAAGTCTCTTGTATTCCTGACATATATACAAATAGATTCTAACTACTGTAATAACCCATCATGCATGAATATTAAGTTCAGCTTTGCTGATGGTAGTTATCAACATTCTTACAATATCATTTTGCTAAATAAGAATATTACAAGGTAAGAAACACTGGTATTTTGATGACCACGAATATTATCTGGTATAGTAAATGAGAGTGGTAAATCTTAACGTTAAATGCCTTCCAAATTTGTGTTTGTTTAGGAGACTGTTAACTAAAATTTATGTATCATTTTTATCAGGTAAGTGGTATTAACCTGATAAAAATAACGTCTGATGAAAAACTAGATATTATTGTGGTATTTCTTTTTAGATTTGGGTGTTAGAATTTTGTTAGAAATTAGTTAATGGGGGAGTTGAAGACCCTTTTACCAATCAAATTGAGCTTTTTTTAATTTTAAATATTAATTTTATTAATATTAATTCTATTCTCCATTTTATAATAGTCAAATATGGTGTTATTCCAGCATTGAATTCCACAGTGTTCTTGCGTAAATGGACTTTTGACTCCCGCCCATTACTTTCTCATGCCCTTCCCATATTTAGACTTATCTTGGTTTTTAGGGTTTTTGATTCAACAAATTGATTGCCAAAAAATGGAAAGGTCGGGGGTTTCTGATCAGCACACCGACTCAAGATCCCCTTTTGATTATCAGAAACTAGAAGCTGAGACACCACGTTCATGGAACGCCGGCGATTTCGACCGGCGGTTCGCGTTTTCCCGCCAAACGTCCTTCAATCGGCAGCCTGGTGAACAACCACCTCATACGCCAGTATCCATAATTTCTAGCGATTATTCTTCCAAAAGGCCTTTGCTTTCTCGTACTTCATCTAAGATTGATATACTTCCGCCGCCGAAGAGTTTTCCTCAGCAACGGGAATATGGAGGTGATAGACTGTGGATGGAAGAAGATCCTTCTTCTTTCAGTAAAAGTGAAAGGTTTTCAATTCCAGCGTTTGTTTTTTCCTTGTTTAATGTTGTTAGATCGGGTAACCGACCGATGAAGAGATTGGCTATGCTTATTTCACTTAACGTGGCTTGTTCGACGGCCGAATTGCTTATTGGCCTTATATCGGGTCGAGTAGGTATGTGTACATGTTGCTTCTGGTCTCTCAATTCTCGATGAGTTTTTTTGTTTACTTCAATGTAAATGCACAATCTATTAGATAGTTTATGAAAAAGTTTGTTGTTTGATATCATGCCTTTAGATGTTGTGTTAGTCATCAATTAACTACTAACCCCTATAACCAACAATAGGTGTTTATGCAAAACAGTGGCATGGTGCTTTCTGTAAAACAATCAATGCCTTCTTAATTTATGTGTGTGCTTGAAGTAAACCCATTCATGGAATGCACAGAGCATGTAGCCCCTAGCCAGGCCCTATCCTGACATATTATAGGCCTGGGGAGTTGTAAAAGTAAGAGCCCCAACAATAGGTAACAACAGACAGCAACAACAATATATGCACCATACAGTTGAATAAAAGTAGCAGTAACTTATGCACCATACAGACACATGTGCAGGACATTGTTCATATAGATTAGTTTAGGTACAGTAGTTGCATAAGAATTCAAAGATAGCATATGAACAACATACAAACATTGTAATATATTTAATTGTGTTCATGTGTTATGTCCATTTGGTGGTTTTGTTATTTTCTATTAGCATATAACATGTCTATGCGCAGTTGAGGATGGTTTGGAGAGAGAGAGAATATAAATGAAGGGTCATTAAACTCAAGCCGTGTGATCATCTTCTCCAGCTAGTTTTTAAATCTCAATCGAATAATATTTATATATTATTAAAAGCTACTAATGATTTTTTCTGGGTCCCTACTCTTTTTGGGCCTTGGGTAGGTGCCCAGCCTGCCCTTGCCTGGGACGGCCCTGCTTGTAGCTTGGATTTTCCATTGGATTTATGTGATGGTTAGGTTGATGTGTATGTCCATAGAAGAAAGCTGTCATTGGTTGCTGTTATCTTTTTGATGTTCAAATTGTGTTTCCTTTTGTCATTTTCGGAGTGATTGGTTAATGCATGCCATGCTCAACCTTTTTTTGTTGATTTCTATTTAGGTTTGGTGTCCGATGCATTTCATTTGACATTTGGCTGTGGCCTTTTGACATTTTCTTTATTTGCAATGACTGCTTCTCGGAGAAAACCTGATCGAGTTTACACTTATGGGTGAGCTTTGAATTTGTATTTATTGACTTGGTCATTTTCATGAGCTACTTAACCTCTCTGGCTTGTGATGAATTTATTTTGCTGAAGCTTGTGGAAAAATGTAATTTGGATAATGGTAGAATCACTTCTGTTCTCAGCAGTTACGGACTTATCTCACTTGACTGCGGTTCTTAAGTTTGTTATTGGTAGGCTTGTGATATTTGGGAAATTTCTAGAGATAAGTTAAGTTAAATAAATTGCTTTTGATATCAGGTACAAAAGGCTAGAAGTTTTATCTGCTTTCACCAACTCTGTAAGTATGCACAATTCTGCATGATTTAAAATGCTGTTTCTATTTTCTTTTGAATAGGGTATTAAAACATGTTTTCCTAGTCTCCCCTTGGAATCGGACCTACAGGCTGTAGCACCTAATATGTTCATACTTCTGGAACCATACTACTTTGGTTACTGGAAATGTTATGCTTCAATTAATAATATGTCTAACTTCGTTAATATCATATGTTGAATATATATTATCGATTATAGTTCCCCATTTGCATTAATGGGGCTAATGTGGCAGTGTCTAAATTGTGCTTCATGTTTAGACAGCTATTTCTTTTGTTTATGTCATTTTCCTTGGCCGTTGAAGCACTTCATGCGTTTGTACAAGATGAATCTGAGCACAAGTAAGCCATTCTTTATAACTTATTTTAGTCAATCATTCTTTGAGCCGATGGCATTTCTCTCTTCTCTCTCTCTCCCTCCCCCCTCCATTTTCCTTCTCTATGAAAAGTACGATTTTGCCATGTACTTATTCTGTGACTTAAATTCACTTGCCTGTTGATGGCAGAGGCCATTTTAAAGCTTGTAAATATTCCCTCCACTAAGTTGCCATTTGTGGTTCATATGGCTGATCTTATGTGTGTGAGAGAACCCTGAACCGTACTTTATTTGTGCTTTCTGTAAGTTAAATTACCATGAGGGTAGTTAAGGAGAGATGGAACCAGAGATGATGTGGTTGGTTAATCAGGGGTAGAATTCGAATTTGAAGACTTGAGCCATGAAAACGAGGCACTCTTATCTGAAGCACACACTCTATATTACTGATGAACAAAAAAGTTTTGTATTTGTCTGTGTTTTGGAGTCAAAGGGGAAGGGAGAGGTGACAGTTAGAGTGACTTCTTTTGAGCCTTTTGGTTGTACCAAAATTAACTTACAGAAATATTGAACCTTCTACATGGAGTTGTTTTTGCCAATATCAACATATCATCATGACTAATTTAGGATATTACATGAGATGCACGTCGTAATACAATTAGGTTATAATAAGCATTATTTAATCAGGTTTAGGGAGCTAATGTTGCATGGCGCTTCCGAAACTATGTCTTTCTCATTGTTGTTTATTATCGTCAATTGCAGGCATTACTTGATTGTTTCTGCTGTGACGAACCTTTTTGTGAATCTAATTGGCATTTGGTTCTTCAGGAATTATGCTCGGATTAGTCTTGGTAAGGTTTGCTTCATTTTTTGGAATGTGTCATGAAAAGTTCTCTGAGGTTGTGTTTACTGGGGAGCAGTTTGTCGGTCTTATTTTCCTGCGTCAGGTTTGCTTGTTATTGTCCAAGATTGAAAGCATGAACTTTAAGCATGCCAGTAAAAGAAAAGCCTTTGCTGTCATAAATTTTGGAGGTCCTTTTTTTCCGGTACCTGGTTTTATATACTTGTCACTGTATGTCAAATACAGATGTGATGTTGTTTCTAGGCCTTTAATTATCTATTCTTGTTTAATGAGGTTAGAACCAGGCTGAATCTTGTATTGTTTATCTCTCAGTAGCATCCAATTGATGAGAACGCCGGAAGCCACTTAATGTTTCACCTGATATCTTCTCCTGTAGTATTTTTATATCTTCTAAGAGAAAGTTCGTGCAGGAAGAGTGTTTTAGTAAGCAATGGCAGTTGAGTGATTTCTAGTACTTAATCGCAGAATCATGGATTCAATGGATGCCTTAGAGGACTCATATGCAGTTTATTTTTAATATATAATAGGGATTATTTTTTGACTATATAGACATGAGATCAAAATTCAAGTAGTATGCTATTTTCTATACTACGTTTCTGAATAATATTTTTCCTTACTCCATTGATACATTTACTTCGAAATGATTGGAAAGGTTACCTTCAAATCAAGGAAAATTAATTGATGAACACAAGATTCTTATAGTTTTAAATCAAGGAAAATTGATTGATGAACACAACTTGGTTATAGTAGATGACACTCAATTCAAGAATTATTTGTTAATGTAAGTGGTGGGGATGCTTGATGCTCAAGAGGTAACTAAGTGGCGCTAACTAATTGAAGGGTGGGAGGACACTTAATTGTGGTCATTTAGCTATCCTTTTACAAGTGCTTTTGAAATCCATGGGTTTTTACAAGTTTCTAGGATTCTTGTGTAAGGAAGTGGCATTCTCAAACCTGTCCGAAGGTCATGGATCTATAAGACCCTGTCAAAGGTCATTTGATCAAAGGACCCACATTTAATGAATGGGCGACTGCGTAAGCCGGATTTTAGTACACTGCCACAGAATCAATAATGATGAAGAAAGAGACATCACACATGTTATCTTGGCCATAGTAAAAGTTAAAACCCAACCTAGCAATATAGTTTTCCCCTCTCGTTCGCCTTCCAATATATGTGTGAGCACAATATCTCTGCTCAGAACTTTGGGACACTCGTTTGCCTTTTGTCTTTTGGTTTCAGTACTAACCATTTATATAGGTAAAGTATTTGCATGTATATAAGCTAAATAAGCTAATGCTCTGTATATAATGTAGTTCTCTTGACTACTTGAAAGGACTTCTTTTTATCAAGCTAAGTTCTTTTGTCTTCGTATCTGATGCATCAATGCTTCTTGTTTTATCACTAGGTGCTGGCTAGTGCACATTTTGTGTTTTTTAGTGTTGAAAGTACCAGATGAATGATTTGGCATTTCTTATCTGTCTATTCCCAGTTTATAGAAATGCTGAAGATATGAACTACCACTCAGTTTGCTTGCATGTTGTTGCTGATTCCATTCGTAGGTATGAATCTCTTTCTTAGAGACACACGTAAGTAGATGCATCATGCATATATGTGCATATAAATAATTATATATTTATTTATTTATATATTGCTCAATGAAATTGAGTTGTCAATTAAAGGTATTAGTTCTGGTGTAAGTAGTCTGCGATAGACACAGTGTCAAAAGAGAGTAAGGACCTTTAACTGTCTTTCGCGCTCTGTTTGTGTGCATGCACTCTTGAGTCTACATCTGCCTTCCCAATTACTCTTCACTGTAAGTGACACGTCTGTCACAGCAAAATCTACTTGCATATTATGGAACAGCAGATTCTTATATGAAATTTCAATAAATAGGTGCATTGCTGATTCTTTTGAGAATTTATATTATATGTACATATTAAATGATGTCATTTAATAGTTTATCATATGAGTAAGATAGGTTGGACAACTCAAGAAGAAAATTCTTCAAACTCTCGTTATCTTCTCTGTCTCTCCACCTTGAAGAGACATTTGGATACTTGTTCACTAACTGGATAACTCAAAAAGATAACTCTTCAAACTTCTGACATCTTATCTGACACAAAAAACTTCTTGGATGGAGGAGAATGTCACTTATACTTTTCTGGGTTGAGGATTATCCCATAAAGTAACACTTTAAATCTTGATGATCAACTTTACCTCTGACTTGATTATGGATATGAACAAAGATGCACCGAGAGGCCAGAGATGTGAGGCGTAATAAGTTTGTCGGAGGTGCACAAGTTCATATAGAGAGAAAGCACTTCCATTGGATTCTTAAATCCTAAAACACGAGCAAGAAGCCTATTTATAAGGTAAGAGTGGATGTGAGAAGAACTTCCCCCAAAAATGTTTTGGCACCTTTCTTTGAAACAACAATCCTCTGTTTTGATCAAAGAGATGTCCATTTTTTCTCTCGTCAACCTCGTTCTGTTGAGATGTTATAACAAATGAAAACTCAGGAGTTATTCTCTTCATTTGACAAAATATGAAGTGAGGGTTTTGATTGAAATGATATCGAATCCCGAGCGTCATCAGATCTTAGTCTTCTATTTCTTACCCTAAACTGGATTTAACATTAAAAGGAAATTAGGGAACACATAACTCACATCATATTATATTGGAGCAAGAAAGCTCAAGTAACTTGTTTAATCATTTGAAGTTACAAACCATTGTGCCCCGGTATTATTAGAAACAGTAGAAGGGCCCCAAATATCGGTATGAATAATGTAAAAAAAGAAGTGCTTTTTCATCGATGGAAATGTAGACGGTTGTTTAGCTCACACATCTCACAATGAAAACTCTCTACATCGAGTTCTGTAAATAACCAAGGAAATAGAACCGTTACAATCTTAAATGATGGATGACCTAAACGACAGTGATAAATGATATATTTTTCTTTATTGGATAGTTTGGATTTCAATTTGAGTGAGACAATCTTATTTTTATTGACTTCTCAAGACAATAAAGACCATCCTCCTTTCTTAGCAGTCTAGTCGGCCGCCCCGAATCCTTTTCCTAAAAGACACAATAATTGTGGTGGAAAATCCCTTAAAAGTAAACCTTGTGACTTCTGGTATAGAGAATATATCATAGATAATTTAGTAACAAGAACATTCTTAAGGTTACAGAGGAGTTGATTTGGACATCTCCTACACCAGCTACGGTTGCTAGAGTTCCATCTGTGGATACAATTTTCTTACTACGGTTGCTAGAGTTCCAACTGAGTATGTGAGAAGTGTTTGGAAGACTGA